AGATACGTACTCAGATGGTGGTAAAGTGAGATCAGTTCGGGATGACTTCTGGCTAGATCTCTCCTGTAAAATTTGAGGATAGACAATAACGAAAACCTCATAGATAAAAAATTTTGTCTCGCCAGATAGGAAAAAGTACTCACGCTTTGGTCAATGATGCAAGATGTGATCGCTGCTTTATTCTGAGGTCACCGACCACTTTAGCGTTCTCATAATCGTCCACCTACGATCAAAATAGATGAGAATCACCTATGAACTGAGTTGACTTACCAATTCGAAAAATTGACTCAAACTAAAGTTGTCCGGGAGCAAACGCGATTGGTATATACATGTCATCACATCAGCAAATTCAATAAGCGTCCCGCAAGAAACTCTCTTTTGCTTGTCAATCTTCTCGGAGGCCTGTAGAATAATCCTAGTGATCTGAGCGCTGCAGAAAAAAAGAATGAGAAACTTACCAGCGTTACACAAGCGGCAAAGAACGTATGAGCTCTACAAGCTTCTACATCCTCCGAACATTTCTGGACGATATCCTCGACTTCCGGTGACGATTTAAGCATAGCAATGATTGCTACATCAATTTCATCATATCTCTGATCATCACTTTTGTTTTTATGTTCATCAGTTATTCCAAATTTATGCAAGACATCTGTTATAGCCGTTCTATAACATTCCTGTGATCAGCAATCAGATTACTCAATCGTAGATAAGCAGCACTTACATTGTGACCTTGTCTTTTTCATCTTCTGTTTGCGTTTCCTCCTCGCTGATGGTAGAACTGTCGTCGCTATCACTATCAAGGGATTCATCCACAAAATGTATACTGAAAAGAGTTAAACAGAGAACGTTTTCGTTGATACCACATATTCAATGGGTCATACGAAACTCTTGAGAGAATCTCAGTACGACAGAATAGAATCGCACGCAAAGGTTTATAGGCAGCGGTTCGGCAGAATGATACCTCTGGGATAATCATCGTTCTCGGTTCGCCCGGATGCGCTAAGTCCAAACTGTACTTTGCAGCTTCAAAAGATATCAATAACCCGCTT